GGCTGGGAGACAAATCCCTCCTGCTGGGTAGTGCAGCTTTTGTGACAGCAGCTGTAGCAGATTAAATAAAAGATCTGTCTGATGCCTGGTGGGACAATGGTCTAGGGAAGAGAATAAGAGCATGGCAAGTGCACCAAGATATTCCCAGCCTATTTAGCTTTGGTGTTTTAGGAATATCCAGAGCTGGAAGTGTTACCTCGGTGTTCACTGTCTCCTGGTCTTTTCTATTGCTGCTTTTTTAGCCTGTGTGGAAAACTTGGTGCTGCAGATGTGAAGTGAAACAGATTTATTCATACCCTGTGTTTATTGAGACAGATTTATTCATAGCCTCGATGAAGAGTTTTGTTTGTCCTTTTGTTTGCTTTGGGATTTGTTTCTTTTTGGTTTATACCCCTAATCCTCATTCAAGAAAGAAGCTGAATAGCTAGTTTTTTTCATGTTTGTTAAGCAAGGCATGACTGTGTATTTTATTCATCAGCTGTGTTTGTTCATAGGCTGAAGAGTCCCAGGTCTGAAGGGTCTATTTAAATAGTAGCATGGCAGCTCTTGTGCCTTTGATATTCTTGGCCTCCATCTCTGTATTTGCACCTCTTTATCCTTCTTTACTCTTTTGTAAGATCAGAATTAGGACCAGACACACCCATGCTGAATGAAGAAAATGCTAGTTGGACTGGGAACCACTGGTCTGGAAAAAGGTCAAGGGTTTCTTGTGTGGGGGTGTTGTGGGGATTTGTTAATTCTAAATTAGTAGAAATGCTTTATTTTCGCTTTAACTTCCTCCTTCCCCTCTTGCAGGTGGGGAACCACATTGATGTGATCACTGCCAAGTGGGTGGCCCAGGATGCTGGCATTGGGGCAGGAGTGGACTCCTACTTTGAGTACCTGGTGAAAGGAGCCATTCTCCTGCAGGACAAGGAGCTGATGTCCATGTTTCTGGGTGAGTGTTTGGTTTTCTGTGTGAAGGGGCCCAGCAGTGCTTGGCTGCACCTGTAAAAAGCAGCGGGCACTGTGGAAGGAGAGGATGAAGGATCTCACAGGGTACATTCAAGAATGTTCTTGAAGCCTTTGCTGTGATACTTTTGAGCAGTCTGTGATTACAGAATCACCAAAGTGATTTTCATTCTTAAAACAAAGATTTTTTTTTTTTTGTTGGCTTACCTACCCATCTGCATTTCTTTATAGAATATAACAAAGCTATCAAAAATTACACCAAGTTTGATGACTGGTACCTGTGGGTTCAGATGTACAAAGGAACAGTGTCCATGCCTGTGTTTCAGTCCCTGGAGGCCTATTGGCCAGGCTTACAGGTAAGAGCTGTCAGAGCACATGGTGATTTTGTTTGTCTGTCATGGGTCAATCTTTAATATAAAAGTTAGAAATATAACCCTCGTCCGTGCAGGTGTAAAAGTTTGGTTGGACCTCTGGTGAAATCTCTGCCTGTGGAAGAGCAGGTGTTGATTTTATCTACAGTTTACAAAAAAGTCTCCCATCCAGGATCACGGGAGGGCAGTTTTGTTGTAGCACACTCCACTGACAGTGGTCTCATAATCCAGATGTAAATCTACGGAAAAAGAAATTCCCACCTCTTTTCCATCACCTCATAAATGCTTTCTTTGTGTGAATGCTTTCCCACTGAGTGCTTTGCTTTCTCATCAGTCCTTGTGTTTGGACTGAGACTTTGTTATCCCCACGCAGTGCTGTGATTGATTAAACGTTTGACTGAAGAAACACAATCTTCTTTAAAAAAAAAATCAAAGAGACTTCATATTATTTCAGGTGTGGGAATGTGATCCAGCAGAAAAGCAGCATGTAACTCTCCAGTCTTACCAACTCCCAAGGCATCATATCCAAGTATTATTTCCACCATTCAGACCTGCTGAAATATCCATTTCTGTCCCTGCTTTGCCTGTAGGAGTGTTACTGCATCAGTTCCTTTGCTGTTTGTTCTTCACTCACATGTTGCTTTGTTAATTGTTCTCTCCCAGAGCCTAATTGGGGATGTGGATAATGCCATGAGGACCTTCCTCAACTATTACACTGTCTGGAAGCAGTTTGGGGGGCTGCCTGAGTTCTACAACATTCCCCAGGGCTACACAGTGGACAAGAGAGAGGGATATCCACTCAGGCCTGGTAAGCAGAAGTGGAATTAAAAGGGCCATGGACTCCTGCTTTTGCTGTGGTGGCGAGATCAAATGTTAGCAATACCTGCCTTCCACAAATTCCTCCTCCAGTTTTGCTCTGACTCAGTTCCTCACCAGGAGTTTGCAGAGTCAAAACTGCACCTTTTGTTTTCCACCATTCACAAAGACAGGGCTGCCTTTCAAGGAAGGAAGACACTGTTACCATAAAAAGGAGGCCCGTTAATGAAGTGGCTTCACAGTGTAGGATTTGACATATTTAAGTGTTAGATTGTCTGACATGGGATGTTTCAGTCATGTTAAAGGGACTGTTTGTGTCCTTTAAATTTAGGAAGTGAAAGTGAGTTGGAATAGACCACTGTACTTGTGCTGGGTTCCTGAAATAAACTCATTCTGGCTGCACTAGTAAAGCTCAAGATCTAAGAGAGATTCTGTGTTGTCTGTGATACTGCAATGAACTGATCTTTTTTTCTGATTTTTTACAACTCTGACTGAAAAAAAGAAAAAATAAAATCTGATTATTAGGTCCATAAAACTTTGTACATGAGAATAATTAATTTCCTTTTGGTCTGAGTGTTCAGGTGACATCCACACTGGACAAATCCACCAAAAATACTCATTAGCATTGACTTTCAAATGAATTGTAGCATCCAAAAAGATCTTAGTAAGCAAACACAGCACAGTGCACATGTTGCCTATTTAGAGTGTTTGCATGGTGCTTGTTTTCATGATGTTTTGGATACCCCTGTTTCAAGAGACTTACAGTATTGTTTAAAATTGTATTTTGGGCATTGAATTTCTTATTTGTAATTCTTTCTAGAAGCAATTGTTTTTCTTCCTTTGACAACTGAGTTTTAATCTTCTTCTCTCTTGCTCCCCCTCCCACACACTGAATGTGGGAGGGAGGATTAGTCACTCTTACCTGAGCTGATCCAGGCTGGTGAGAGGGAATTTCTTAGTAGGAGGAAAAGCAAATCTGTGCTTGGACCCAGAGGAAATTCAGTAACTAGATTATTTATCTGATCATTCTAAAGGATTTTTAAATTAGCTGAGGAGTATGCCATCATCCCTGTGTGTGTGGTTTGGTAATGTTTGGTACTTGCAAATGTCTGGGGTGTCTTTGCAGAGCTGATTGAGAGTGCCATGTATCTGTACCGTGCTACAAGAGATCCCACGCTCCTGGAACTGGGAAGAGATGCAGTGGAGTCAATAGAGAAAATCAGCAAGGTGGACTGTGGATTTGCAACTGTGAGTGCTAAATCATCTGCTAAATCAGCTAAATGGCTGCTGAAAATCAGCTTTTAGAAGGTGTTCTCATTAACTGTGTTTTCCCATTGAGTTAAGTGGTCACTTTGGTGGAAACATGACTTCTTTTTCAAAAAAGCCCCTTTTATTTCTCTGGGAAGCTGATCTGGTTGTGTTTCCAGTAGTAACTTCCCTCACAGTGTGAACAGTGGGCCAAATTCTGTCGTGGGCTGTTGCACCAGAGCCCAAAACACTGGAAAGCATCAGAAGCTTCTCCTGCATCCCAACCAGGTGTAGACCTGAGCAGGAAGGTTCAGGGGTAGGAACCTGCCTGCCACGTTCATGTGGGATCCTGCTTTCCCACTATGCCTTGAAAATCTGATCAAACACACAAGAACTGCAGGGAGTGATTTCTCTAACATCATTTAATGGGGATTTCAAACATACCATCAACTACCACCACATACTTTTACAAAAAATATATAATGGGAATTAGGTCTTGTGATTTGGAAAGTAGGTAAAAGCCTTATGATTTTTTTTTTTTCTTTAGTAGGGGAAATGATGGGAAGCTCTTTTCCTTGCCCAAACTGAGTTGGCAGAGGGCAAGTTTAGATGTTAGAAAGAAATTCTTCCCTGTGAGGGTGGGGAGGCCCTGGCACAGGTTGCCCAGAGAAGCTGTGGCTGCCCCATCCCTGGAAGTGTCCAAGGCC